TCAGGGATGAGAGTCGCACGCTGACGCCACTAGGCCAACACTGGTCTAGGTACTTGCGAAAACCAAGGATTACCACTAACAGCGTACTTTATTATTTGCTCATGCTCACAGCAGAGAATTAAAGCTATTGAATTACAGATTTATACAAAAACGGTGCTGAAGTTATTAAGGCTTCAAAGTTAAAAACAAATTCTTATCAACACAATATTTGATTAATTAACGAACAGGTGCATTTCCTTTAAAGAATTATTCATATTACATATAATTAAAAATTCCTTACCTTCGAACAATACAAGGTTTTTTACTACATAATAATAGAGAATTTATATATATAGTATTATAAAAATAGTGATCAAAACAATACGCGTTTTCCCTGGCAGATGACATATGAATATAACATACATATACTGTAATATGTACATAAAAAACAAAGGTTAGTGCGCAACCTCTAAGACTTTGCAAATTCCCAGTATCAGTTTCGTGATAATCACAACATAATATTACTTATTAGCTATACAATAATTTTAACACAAAAACTAATTTCGGTAGAGATTCTAGTAAACCGGATGTGCAATAATCTTAATATATATAAATTACGTGCCACGTAGTTTGTCCGCTATGGACTCCTAAACTACCGAATCGATATCAATCAAATTTGCACACCGTGTGCAGTTTGATCCAACTTAAAAGATAGGATAGCTTACATCTCAATTTATTCCCGCAATATTGCAATATTTGTTTATTATTTGATAAATTTAAAGATGCTGTGTTAAAAGTACAACGTTTCACATAATATCTACCTTTCACATAAGTTCTCCTACCGTTTCCCTTAAATAGTTTACTACTATGTAATATAAAAAACACACCACAGTAACGCTTGGCCGGTCTGCTAGTTGATATATATATTTAATCTTATGGTGAAGGTAAACATCGTAAACCAGTTTACCCACAAATCGAAAATTAGATACAGAACTCTTATTAAGAAATTATCAAGGAAACTAGATACAAAAATGTGAGGTCAAGACAGCATTTAAGGAAAAGGCAACAATAAATTGACGCATAAAAACACTACAGATTTTGAATATTTATACTTCATGGATTTTAAAATTTTTATTCGGATCCAACGTCAAATATGTACTGCTTTATGTACACGACATCAAAAACATCTCGCACCGACTCCAAGTCTTCGTCAACCGCTGTCTTCGCCGTATTCTGGTTTCTGTTCCTAACGAGCAACTTTGGGAGCGCTGCTGAGAAACCCCAAATAGCCAGAAGATCAAGCGACCCAAATCAAAATGGATAAGCCATACACTTCTAAGAGATTCCATTTATATCCCCAAGTAGGTGCTCGATTGGAACCCGTCAGGACAGCGGAAGTGTGGCCGTCCCAAGTAAACCTGGGGTTGTACATTTAATGATGAGGCAAAAGCCGGAAAGACTTGGAGCGAGGTGAAATTCAATTGAATTTATAACTTCTTCTATGCTGTTTTTTGTTATGTGTGGCCTTGTTGGCGGGACTTTTAATAGATAAATACGAGGCTCAAGACCGAAAGCGATTGAGATTCAGTGTGGACGCCCTCTGCCCCATCTAGGGGTTATAGGATAATTAAGTTATGAATATTAGAATATTAATAATAAATAATATTCTAATATTCATAACTAATTTTACAGTGCAGGTGTCAACTGTTGACCATAGAGATACGGCAGTCAGTAGTATTGGTATATTACGATTGTTTTGTAAGACGTTGCTTTGATTATTTGTGCCTACTGCGCGACTTCTGTTTAAAATTCGAAAGAAAAGTACCACAAATCCTATCTATCTCTGAACAATAAAAACACTGGACGAATTAATTACTACTTAGAAGTTTTTATATAATAAATAAATTAACTTAATTATTTACGTTTTTTCCTACTTCCTTCCTAGATATTTTATAGAATATTTTTATTGTAATTTACCGGTAAATATCTCAATAAGAGCATCCGTACATAAGCTACTTGGTTCTCAAAATTTATTTAAATGTTTATAAACTAATAAAAAAATAAAATATAAACTAATTGTAGTACATACAACATTTTTCTTGTAAAAGGTAACTTCGTCATTTAATAAATCCTCGTTAGTTTTTCTTTCTGCGCATTGACTTATGTAATAGATGAGGCAAAAAATATAGAACAAAAACTCCAGACTTGACATTTACAAATTTTGCTTGTGCAATGAATTTTTAAATATGTAAATACAAAGTTTTCGTAGTGTTCTAAAATCACCACCTATTTATTTGTCGAGAAAACCGGGTTTTTCTCGTGTGTTCGGCGAATCTATATTATTGATCCATAATCAAGTAATTACTTAAGACTTGTTGAAAACAATAACTTGTATTGAAAACCCTGAGACAGTCTTCCAAGAATATGATTTATTTGTATAATTGCTGTATTAAATGGTTTAAGAATAGAACAAGAAACCTTGCTGCTTCGTTTTTTTTTTTGGAAATGGCCAATATCATTTGACGTATAAAAATAAAAAAAAAAACATTATGCTTTGTTTTTTCTGACTAACAGCCTACGTGAAAAATGATACTGGCCACTTGTATAATAATTTATGACTGAAAAAAAAACAATTGTACAATTCGACCTGTTTTTTTCAACGTATAACGCATCCGCCTATGCCGATCTTTATGATTGAGGTGACAAATGGAAAATGTTACCTAATGCATTTTATGAAATTTTGTATGTAATGAAATATCGTAAAATCAATAAACTGTTAATATAATTTTTGGATCATTTTGAAACTATTTTATCCGGACTTCGGGAATTTAATACATAATAATAATCCAGTGTTTCTAGTCTTTATGGGCCTTGGCTTCAATGCCGTCTGCACGATGTTTACTCCCAGTAGGTAAAACCCATAGGTGCATGAGATTCGAATGCACGACCCTGCTAAGAGCACTAACCTTATACTTGTTCTGTAAGCATTTTAGTTTTGTTTTATTAATCCGGAAACATCACAGACCAGAGGGTAACTTAAATAGTATAGGCCTATTTATATAAAAAAACAGATGACCTTCAAATTGCTAAGTATACTCAGAAACATTCGTAAATATTTTATGGGTTTAAAAAAGAAACCGCAGATCAGGGCACTCTGTAACTAACAAGCGATAGCGATTGCGATCCCGACTACAATTTTGATTATATGTATCGACAGGTAAGCTCGCTATAGATATTATATAAATAATATTGAATTTTCATAAAAACTTTGTAATGGCTTTCACTACGCTATCGGAAGTTACAGAGAACGAAGGACCTTAAAATATACAATTCTTTTTATTGACGTTGTTTTTAACCTAAGCTTCCGCGTTTTTATCGCACATTAAGTTTAAATAAGTGTATAATTGTTATTTAGCGCGATAATTATAAATAAATTAAAAATTAAAATGTTACCAATGTCACCGCCAAGGCGATGTTTATGTATTAAAATTAAGATTATAATTAATTTCTTAAAAAAATGCACATCGAATTAAAACCGCCTTCTGCTTTAAAGTTGCTTAAAAACAGCTTAATTCACTTCCTGTTTGCATGTTTTTCTCTAGTTAATACTTTATACTATATAGTAGTACAGTAGTAGATAGTAGTTTAAAAAATTTCAACCGAGGTTCATTTTTTTTAAATAAATTGTCTATGGCCTGATACATTATTTAACATTACGCTCTAGCCTAACCGTATTCTGGGCATCTACTGGAACGAGAAGATCTCCAACGAGCAACTTTGGGAGACACCCCGATTTACCAGCAGATCAAGAGACGCAAATGGAAATGGATAGATCATACACTCCGAAAGGATCCCAATCATATTCCCTATTCGCTTGATTGAAACCCGCAAGGAATGACGTAGCGTGGCCGTCCCAGGCAAACCTAAAGTCGTACAGATGAGGCAAAGAGCACTGCAGTGGACGCCCTCTGCCCCATCTAGGGGTTATAGCACATTAAGTCTTGCCTAACATAAGACTAATAAGTAATTTAAAACTAACTAATAAGAAAGTGTCCAATAACACTACTTCTCTCTCTCTCTCTTTTCATCTCAGTAATAAAAAATTATTCCCCATAATTGGAGACGGGGCTGATTATCGGTATGTATCTCTATCTATGATGTTTAATACCTTCCTACTCACCACGGTTTGCAGCATAAGCAAAAAAAATTCAAAAACTTTGTATGTATAAGGTGTATCAAATTATATCGTATAACATTTTAATTAAACCCGGCTTCGAATTTTTCGATATAGTCAAAATTGTGAAAGTTAAAATATTTAATTATAACAGGTAAAGGGAGTCCTTGAGAATAAACCTTCAATAACAAATGTACAATATAAATCCAGAAAACAGATAAATCCAATCGGTGATATGCAAGTTAAAACTTCGTGAAGATTATTAAAAAAATATTCAATTAAAAATGGACTCAGCCCGCCATTTTGATTATATTTATGTCTCACGAGATTGTGGCAAAAATATATGAAACACAAGGCGATATGATACCTCTTAAATTTACTTTACTAATTATACATATGATTTTTTATAACATTATTTTTTTTAATGAATTATTAAATACGTCAGATAAGGTACTTATCTGACGTATAATATATATATTATTATATTGCTCTTTTCTTAATAAGTTTGTAATATTTCTCTTTTCTTAGTTTTAATTTAAATATTACGTCACCTGCGAAATATTTATAGAATGCATATTTGTTTTAATTGTTGAATCTTATTTAATAAAATAAAATATATTTAAAAAAAATATAAAATAATAAAATAGCTACCAAATAAATAACTTCTTTTTAAAAATCAGACCCTCGTATGCCATTGCTTATTTTTCTGTAATCACTACAGTTTTCAGTTGTATTACGTTATCAATAACGTTTATTGCATATATAAACAGTTAGATTTCACCTGTCAAAGACTGTGTCAGTTCTGCGAAAATGTAAAAAATCAAAAAATCTAAAGCAGAAAACCAACCTTTTCCCAAAAACCCGGTACCACCAGTCAAAAACACACACTGATCCTTATAGAATCGTTGTATCGCAGTCTTAGCTGCTTTACCCTTAGTCAATCTCCTCTGTTCTTCTTCTCTTGCGTCAGCCTCGTCCTCCTTCGCGTAGTAATCGTCCAATTGGTTGGCTGAGACGAACTCATGGTGTTCTGAATAATCCAATATGGGTGCTATCGGATTCATTGCTTGTTTTTCTTCTTCCGGTATGCAGACGGAATTTTCTAAGTCCTGAAAAAAGGTTTTAGTAGATTTTTTTGTTGATCTATAAAATTATATGAAGATTTAAAAGTAATAACGTTAATTATGTCAATTCAATTAGTCATGTTCAGAGGTTATGGTTGACCTATAAATATTCTATTCTGCGATTTCAAAGTACATAATTTTATGTTATCGTCAATTTAATTCAGTCTTCAGTTCAGATTTTTTTTTGTTGATCTATAAATATTATATTGAAGTTTTAAAAGTACATAATTTTATATTATCGTCAATTCAATTCAGTCTTCAGTTCAGATTTTTTTTTGTTGATCTATAAATATTATATTGAAGATTTAAAAGTACATAATTTTATATTATCGTCAATTCAATTCAGTCTTCAGTTCAGATTTTTTTTTGTTGATCTATAAATATTATATTGAAGATTTAAAAGTACATAATTTTATATTATCGTCAATTCAATTCAGTCTTCAGTTCAGATTTTTTTTTTGTTGATCTATAAATATTATATTGAAGTTTTAAAAGTACATAATTTTATATTATCGTCAATTCAATTTAGTCTTTAGTTCAGATTTTTTTTTGTTGATCTATAAATATTATATTGAAGATTTAAAAGTACATAATTTTATATTATCGTCAATTCAATTCAGTCTTCAGGTCAGATTTTTTTTTTTGTTGATCTATAAATATTATATTGTAGTTTTAATAGTACATAATTTTATATTATCGTCAATTCAATTCAGTCTTCAGTTCAGATTTTTTTTTGTTGATCTATAAATATTATATTGAAGTTTTTAAGTGACACATATTGTAGTCAATATATAGCCTTATGACATTGTTTTATGATAATTTGGTAAAAACTTCACTGAACTAATCAAAATGGTAAAATTAAAAAATGACACATGTCACCTATCATCCGGGCTGAAGGTGTGAGCTTGATAAAAAAAAATCAAATAGTTCATATTCATCAAACAAGACTTGGCTGTATGGACTAAAGTCCTTTGCCTTTCCCATTAGGGATAAATTAATATCATTATCATGATAAAAAAATAAACGCAAGAATGCAGCAATTATGAAGCGCGGCATGACCCTGTGTGTAATTCAAAGCAGATGATAGGTTTTAAATTATCTACTAAGTATATTATTAAAAAACCTATCAAATATAGTAACGACGATATGTACCGAATTTTTTAATTAAATATTATAAACCGCGATAAAATAAAATAAAATAAAAATAAAATATGTTTATTATGGAACATAAGATACATGTATCACTTATTCCACGTCATTAAATTTGAAGGCATCCCTACTCATCGGCAAAGAAGACAGAGGGTGTAGGCCGAGAGAAAAAGCCGGCGTAAAAAACTCTCGGTACTCTTTTAAAACAGCAAATCATCAAACAACACTTATTTAAAACAAATATCGCAAATTGATTAGAAGTAGCCTGTCTAGCACTAGTCCCAGGCCCTTTTATCAACTAGATAATCGTTGACTTTATAGTAAGCCTTTTTACACAGCTTTTCTTTAATACATAATTTAGATAGTCTAGTACGGGAAAATTGCAGCCTGCGTTTGTTCCGTGTATTAACATTGTGCGTATGTTCTATTCTAGTAAACTTATCACTATTTTTGTATACATACATAATATTTTCATAAATATATTGCGAGGGAAAGGTAAGTATATTAATTTCCTTGAATTTATCTCTAAGAAATTATAGATTGCACGAATAGCCCTCTTCTGCAGGATGAAAATAGTTTCGACATCAGCAGCATGACCCCATAATAATAAGCCATAAGTCATTAAGTATGAAAGTAACTAAAACAAGTCTAGCTGTATCGACAACAGTTAGTGAGCGAATTTTTTTAACCGCGTAGGCTGCAGAACTAAGTCTCTTCGCCAATCGTTAATATGAGGGGACCACTGAAGTTTTGAATCCATGGTGATTCCGAGAAATACAGTTGTATCATCAGATTCAATTCCTCACCGTTTATAATTGGTCTAGTATCCATAACCCTTGCATTTTTGCACAAAATTTAATGCATTTTGTCTTTTTTCATTAAGTAGAAGGTTATTATACTAAACCAATGGACATAAGACAGAGCATTTTACATCGTCAAAATTTGTTATTTGTCGTTTGATTTTAAAAATCAAGGACGTTCATCACAAACAAAACTATCTGATGTTTTCTCTCTACATGAAAGGTAGATCATTTATATAAACAAGAAAAAGGAAAGGGCCAAGAATTGAGCCCTGTGGTACCCCATATCTACTGCCGACCCAGAGGACCTCTTACCATTCACTTCAACCTTCTGAGTTCTTCCTGTAAATAGGAAGTCAGAAGATTCAGTGCGGTATTCTTGATGCCATAGTGGCGGAGTTTCCCGATAAAGGTCTCTGTTGGACACAATCAAATGCTTTGGATAAGTCGCAGAAAACACCTAAAGCGTAATGCACTCCTCCCAAGCCTTAATATATATCTATATAACTCAACACCGGCATCGCTGTCGAGCGACCCTTGGTAAAACCGAACTGATTATTATGTAATAATTTGTTTACGTTAAAATATTACCAGTTGATTTAATATAATTTTTTCAAATATTTTACTACAAGTAGGTAGTACGGAAATTGGTCTAAAGTTACTGGGGTCGGACATACTACCTGCTTTAAATAAAGGAATAACTTTACTATGTTTCATTAGATCGGAAATCGCCATTTAATACAATTTTGAAAATTATAGCTAGATGGGAGAATTACATCAATTATGCTACTAATTATTTTTACAGAAATACCCCAAAGATCGGTAGTGTTCTTAATAACTATGGTTCTAAATATCTCACTATATCGTCGGCACCAATGGGTCGGAATGAAAAACTGACCTTGCACTCGTTTACATTATCTTTGAGCAGCGATTCGGCGAGGGCGGGAGATGATTGAAGAGACTTAGTAGTCGAAATTGGAATGTCAGAAAAGTACTTATCAAAAACAATCGCTATCTCTTCGTTAGATTTGATTATAGTGTTATCGACACATAGTTCGATGTCTTGATTGCGATCCCTGACTCTTCAGTTTCACTATCAATTATCTTCAAGTCATTTTAGTTTTATTGGTACTATTTTTAATCTTGTTTTTGATATTTAAGGACTTGGCCGCGTAACAAACTTTCTTAAATAATTTCGAATAATTTCGAACATAAAGAATAAATTCTTCATTATGATTGTATGACTTTTCAGCGTAAAGGTCATACAACCGTTGTCTACTTTTATAAATTCCCGCTGTCGCCCAATCACTAAACGATTTACACTGCGAATGAGAGACTTTCTTTGGGGTAAAGATGGTGTTGAACTCTTTATTAATACAATCACTTAGATTGTTGTATTGTGTATCAACGGTAGTACCTACCGGTAATAAAGGTAGGCGTTTACCTATATTATGTCTAAATCTCACCATTCGCTTTTTATTCACTGGAACAAACACACTGCTCTTATTTACTTGTTTCACCACTTTACATTTTAGCGCCACTAACTGTCCACAATGATCTGAGCTAAGATCAGTTGTAATTGAGGTTTGCATTGCCTCTGCATCTGTAAATACATTATCTATACATGTAGCAGTGGAGCTTGTAATTCTAGTGGGCTCAAGAAACAAGTTAACAAGATTGTAAGAGATATAGAGATAGATCGACTAGTGACACTTTGAAGCTGTTTACGGCGAAACCTGTATACATATAACTAGAAAATTCCAGATAGAGTATACATTATGTAGATCACGCAATTTCTATGTAAATTGTTTTATATGTTGTCACTTACATATCCTTATAACTATGCGATATGTAAGCATTACATGTTCCTTGAGTTGACAGTGTATTATACTGACTTTGTACTCCAAAGAATAGTAATAAAACATTTAGTTAGTCAAAATTTCACTAAAAACTATTATAAAATGTTTTTGCGTAAAGTATGGTCGGATAAAAATAATTTTTAATTTCCAATGTCAAATGTCAATCAACTTTTGACCATGCTTGATGTAAATCACGCGAAACTTTAGGACCTGTTTATACTTTTACACTAAAAAAATATTATTATTAATACACTTGGAACATGCAATAAATGCATCTTCCTTTTGTCTTTCCAAGTGTTTTATTGACGCGACGCACACATTTTCACAATATGGCGTCGTAATTTATAAGACGCAATAATTATTCTTTCATTTTTAAATTCATGAGATTTTTAGAAACAAAACAAAGGCAATAGCCAGTCTATATTAAACCAATCATTATTAGAAAATAATAATGCCCAAATTCGTCGTTTAATGTAATAATTTATAAGTAAACACCGGTACTAAGGGATCCCACACAAAACTGCGAATTCGCATCGCATCGCAAATATCTGCGAATTCGCACGAACGCACCGCAAGAAGTTCCGATCTGCTTCGCATCGCAAATTCTTGCGATATTACGTCATCCTTGGTGACGCCATTTTAGTCCGCTCTGAGACAGCTTTAGAGAAAGACGTGCGGCGCCTCCGCCGCCTTCTTTGTTTTAAAAAATTGCGGAATATGATATGGATTTTTTTATATTTTTAATTGAGGAGCGTCCCGTCCTTTAGGACACAAGTGATGAAAATTATAAAAATAAATTTATTAAGCAAGATGCGTGGAAAAGCGTCTGTGAAAGTTTGCATCAGAGTTCATAATCGTAATAAATGGATGAACCCAGAATCTTCTTTTTTTATATCTATTTAACAATAACAGCAGTGCAACAATCTTTTTGCGATCCATCTTACGCTTCCTAAAAACACGTCCAGTGCGGCTGACTACGAAGGAATGGTCGCCCTACCAAACGGTTTGCCGCACTAAATCGTATCGCATCGCAGTTTTGTGTGGGAGTCCTAAGCCGGTTTTTATATAATCTTGTTTTAACCTGTTCACAAAAACACTCGAGGTTGAATATATAAAAAATAACGATTAAATCGGTAAGATTAGTTTTTTGACCAAAGACGGAATTATTTTATCATCTCTAATTTTTTACGAATTATGAAGATAATTTGTAGGTTTTAATAACAAGACGCAAGTCCAGGGTCAAATGAAAATTTAATTATATTTCATAAATTAATCTTTATTCTTATATGATAATATCTTACAACATTTCATACTTCCAAGATATATCAATTTCACAGACCATCTGTGCAATAGTTTATTAAAACATAAATGATGAATTATACTTAAGATATAAAGAAGTAATGTTTTGTCTTTTATAGTTTCATAATGTCACAAAAGCAATAGACAACAGCTTCAATTTGAGGCTTTAATAGTGTGAGTAAGAAAAAAACAGCGTGAACTATATCGAAATCAATTTTTGACGTAGGGGAGTTAGACTCAGCGCTAAGTTTCGTATTTGAATCTTACCCTCCTACATATATGAATTAAAAGGCCGGCAACGCACTTGCGAGCCCTCTGTTATTAAGAGTGTCCATGGGCGGCCCTATCTCTTAACATCAGGAGAGCCTCCTGCCCGATTGCCCCCTGTTCTATTAAAAATAAACCCCACGAATCGTAATGACCACTGTTAAGTTTGTGTTATTATATCTTTGTGAATAAGGTACGGCGTCTTTAAATATCTGTTACGGGGTATTTTAATTTTTTTTAAATATATTGGCCTTGCTTTCACGATCACAATAAGAAAAATGATTACTAAAACAGCGCAGAAATGTTTATTCTCCGCCTCTTTCAACACTGCAATTAAGGAAATTCACGCAACAACGGGATTTCCCACCTAGGAACCTGGGTAAATAGAAAACCCCGTTCTAAATGTCCTGTGTCGCTTATAAATAACTAGCTACCCGCCCCGGCTTCGCACGGATGCAATGCTGATACTAAATTCAAAGTGCTATAGAGTATAGGGAGAACCGCGGCCTCCGACGCGATGCGTCCCGAAATTTTTAAATCTGTAATATCTGCGAAAATATTCATATAAATCATATGCTGTTAAGGGCCATATAGATCTATATTAAATCAACAATGTATTTAAGGTATTTAATTGGATAAGGGTTAATACTGTATTGGTTAAAATCGCTTCGAAAATTAGCCATTATTTGTCGTAAAAAGTAAATGACAAAAAAATTTTATTGTGGGATATCCATAAGAGATAGACATATACTGTCTCAGTTTTCTGTAGACCTTTTCAATGTGTACAATACTTACATATTTTGATAAATCTCGTAGGGTTCGCAATGTCAGCGGAAAAAATGTAATTATTTACCATTTACGACATCACATCAGAAAACTCTATCTATTAAAAAAACCGCATCAAAATCCGTTGCGTAGTTTTAAAGATTTAAGCATACATAGCGACAGAGAAAGCGACTTTGTTTTATACTATGTAGTGAAGTATATGAACAAATTGTAACCGTCAGATGATCGCCTGGTTTTAATTTTAAAGGGATTATTTATTTCGTAATCCTACAGCTAATAAAAAATATATTTAATAACAAACAATTACACTAAAAATATAGCCAGAGATGGAATACATAAAATTTAACTAAAAAAGGTTCAATAATTTACAAAAGGAAACAAACAATAATAATTATTCAATACGTTTAACGAAGTGGTACCTAATTTGGCTGTGTTGTGTGATGGTGTAAAAGTGAGGGTGTGAAGGTGTGTATGTGGGGTATGCGCATTGGATTAAATGGGATCATCACATCATATCATCATGGGATTAAAAGGCATTTTTTTTAATCTAAGGTACTTAACAGGGAGTCAACCCCATGCGTAATTTAAGGGTAAGATTGTTTTATAAAATATGTTTCGAATGCGACTAGTCCTTAGTCTATGCAATAGAGTCTACTATTTAAGTCATTAAAAAAATTAGAATACTTACTTCTATAAATATCTATTGTATTTATGAACTCTCTTAGACAGTGTGACTTCGAGCGTGAAACTAGTACAAAACTGATGAACAATGCATAAATATGTAATGTATGTATGTATTGCATTTTTATTACATGCACATCAATGATTGATTTGGCAATTGCGTTCAAAGCGTTGATGACATTTATCGTTATTTGCCGCCAAATTTTAAATGTCAACATGACGGAAGTATCCAGTTCGCTTACTTTGCATTCACGCATAATCTGTATTTTATTTTATTGTTTATGACAGATGAATTTCTGTTATAATAGGGATGGAATTTTTATAGTGTTGTAACTGTCCTTTTGCAAAACAATCTTAACTAAATAGTTTTTTTTATTTTTTACCGGATATTGGGCTAAAAATCCTATGGCTCGACACGTTTGGTCACGTGACCATACAAATTCTATTGACGCTACCCTGAGTCTAGATTTGTTTAGGTCAACTGGGAACTAAAGGCGCAAATACCGAATTCGACAAAGGCTTTGTGTCTTTGGTAAGTAATCTAACATTAATTTCACAACATTTAAAAAACTGTTGATTTTCGCACTATATTGTATACTATTTTTAAAAAAAAAATTGTGTTCGTATGTTTGTGATTATACTCCTCCTAAACGTACTGATTTTGATGAAACTTTTTTGATATCTTCAAATGGGTTCGAGAATGGTTAAGATTTACAATAATTAGATGATTTTTTTGCTTAAGACGTATACCTAGGTTCCGTATGTTATATATACAAAAATACTTCATTGATTTCTAATCTAGTTAAATATTTATGTCTTAAAATGATTAAATAATTAAAAACGATTTATTTATATAATTAAAATCTTTGAAAAACCACTTTGTGTTATATTATATAAAAATCTCTGTAAAATTGACAGCCTAATTATTTAATAGTTAAAAATAAAGAATTTATTAGAATTTAAGTCACGATATATCATAAAATAAAAATATGCATACCATACAAAATTTCACTAAGCACAACACAGCACTACACTACGCGACCGCGCTGTTACGAAGGCGGGAAAAAACTATACGATTCTATAAGTCGTCACATACAAGAAACTGTGCAATAAATTACGAATTTTATTTCACATAAAATTCTATACTTTTTAGAATAATTTATTCATATTAACCAGTCAAACGACCTTGATACATAGAAAATGTCTTTAATAATAAGAAAACAATGACATTGCGATCGACGTTTACATACCAAGGGCCTATTTACTTCAACTATACATATGTACTTATTTAAGTGCTTTATTGAAATCGATAATTCTATTTCAAAAATGAATGTAAAAATGTATTTAAATTGGCGTTAGATACCGGTGACCCCGGAGCTGGAGCTTTCCTAGCAATGCCAGCATTAAAGGAACACTGCCAGAGACCAAGATTTTTCAGTTATCCTTTTATACATTTTTAATTATTTTAATGTTTGGTAACTGTTTACTTTAACTTAGGGTCGATTCATAATCCTGGTACACAGTTGCGCACCAAGACAAGTGAACACAGTTTTTTATAGGTTATTCTTGATAGATTCGTGTAAATGTTTTGGGATTAACCCGATGGTGGACAAAAGGAAAGGGACTATTGATACTTTGTTAAGAGTCTTTATTATTATTTTTATTACTATGTGGGTATAAGAATATTGTAACTGTATATTTGTGTGTTGGAAATAAAAAATTACATAGTGTACTATTAGTTAAAGGTAAAAACGAACGGAAAACGAACCTCACATTAAGACTAAAAAAAGATTTTATATCTCACATTCAGATTATTCTGGAGCTCCTTGCTTAAGTTTCTGACTCTCTCCAGCTCCTGAAGGTGGCTGTTTGAAGGTTTCCCGTACACGTCCACCTGCTTGGCCCCATGACTGTCCGCCCATGCCGATATCTTCTCTCTGGTGACCTCGGTTTTTTCAAGGGGAGACTCGGCTGAGAAGTTCATTTTTCTACAATAATAAAAAATCTCTTTTAACTAAACTCTCTGTGTCAAATTATGTTTACGCTGTGATAAAAAGATAGATATTTTTTAGGTGTAAATGTACAATTACAAAGCTATGCCTCAGCACTACAACTTCTTGATACAACAGGAATTAGACGGCTAAAGAGAACTAAACTTTTTGACATACATGAACATAGTGTAGTGAATATAAGTGCAAATGCGGTATCTCGGACACACGAACTTAATGTCAAAACATTATAGAACACTAAAGGTGGGAACTGACCAAAGTTACGAGGTGTAATGTAGCATTCGCATCGAGCATGTTACGCTGTGTTTTAAAATCGGCGTAACATGCTCGTCAAAAATCTGTGTTCGCCGCCAGTGTTCACGAGATGGCCGATAGCGAGGACGCGTTGTTATCTTTAGAACAAGAAAAAACGTTACTGGACATCAAACTTATTTAAAAACAGAGGCGTATGTGGTGGTTTGTCATTGATAGCAATTTTAAAAAACCAAATTATTACTGGACAGTATAAAAACCAGCGAGCAACGAACGGCTGGTTCCCCGTAAAGGTGGGAACTGACCAAAGTTACGAGGTGTAATGTATCATTCGCATCGAGCCTGTTACGCTGTGTTCTAAAATCGGCGTAACATGCTCGTCAAAACTCTGTGCTCCGCTTTCGCCGCCAGTGTTCGCGAGATGGCCGACAGCGAGGACGTGTTGATATCTTTCATTCTATTTCATTATTGTTTCTTCCAAATTAAGAAGAAGAAAAAGAAAAAATGTTACTGGACATCAAACTTATTTTACAGTATAGTGGTTTGTTTATTCTATTAAAAACAAATTTATTACATATAAAATTTACGCTGTTATTTAGAACTTTGTTTTGTCAATTAAGGACAAAAGTACTTAAAAATACATAAGTTATAAAAATATAATCATGATCACTCCGACTACGACCGTACTGATGAACTGCGTAAAGTCAAAGATTTGCCAAAAACAACGGGTGGAGACTCAAACAAAGAGGGCTGGTTCCCCTAAAGGTGGGAATGACAAAGTTACGAGGTGTAATGTATATTCGCATGAGCCTGTTACCATCGAGTGTTACGCTGTTTCTAAAATCCTAAATGCTCGTCAAAACTCTGTGCTCCGCTTTCGCCGCCAGTGTTCGCGAGATGGCCGACAGCGAGGACGTGTTGATTCTTTCATTCTATTTCATTATTGTTTCATCCAAATTAAGAAGAAGAAAAAGAGAAAATGTTACTGGAATCAAATTATTTAAAAATACAGGCATGAGGTGGTTTGTTATTGATTGCAATATTAAAAACCCAAATGATTACTGGACAGTATAAAAACTTTGTACGTATGTCTCGATTATTAAGAACTATTGTTGTTGGTCCAATTAAGGACCAAAAGTACTTAAAAAATACATAACTTATAGAAAATCATAATCATGATCACTCGCGACGTACGACGCGTACTGACTGAACTGCGTAACAGTCAAAGGATTCGCCAAAAAACCGACAGCCGGGTAGAGCACTCAAAGCGAGCAACGAGCGGCTCGTTGCTCGCTGATTTCCCCGTAACATGACGTACTGACTGCTCGAATGCTCGCTGTGTAACGTGTTACATTACACCTCGTAACTTTGGTCAGTTCCCACCTTAATTCTCTTCCGTTCTACGCCCTTGATTTGAGAACTGGCAGTAAATGTAAAATTAGAAGCATTAATACTTATTTCTTTAATGACGAATCACAAGTGTACATTGTGTTACCTACGTGAATAAATGATTTTTGAATTTGAATTTAACACGACGTACTGACTGCACGAATGCTCGCTGTGCAACGTGTTACATTACACCTCGTAACGTTGGTCAGTTCCCACCTTAATAAGACTGTTAATGAACATTACCTTAGTTTAAGCTATACACTAGTATTGTAGTGACATAATATTACTTATTAGACATAATTATTGTATAGGCTAGATTGTTTTTATGTAAAGTCGTTCTCTTTTGAACTTTTAAATCAAAGCTATTAATAAAAAATACAGGAAGAATATTTTAGAATGGAAATATTTCAACGAGGAAATACGTAAAATGTTAATAACGTAGTATTTATCGTTTAATATTTAAAAGTTTTTTATAAATTTAATCTCTTTCTTAATTAACCATAAGTATCGAAGCTCATCTGTGATGCAAAAAATGGCAAAATTAAGACTTTTTTTAATGTTCGCTCAAAGTTTATTTAATAAAAATATTTTCAAGCTAAAATTATAGCTGTTTAGAATAATAGTATTTTTTATAATAACGGGAAACTTTCACGATATCAAATAATTGCGCCTAAATCGGAAACTTGTACAACTTTACATGGCTAACACAGTTTTTGCTCTCAACGCTCATTTCAATTTGATATGTATTGGTTTACTATTATTATTTTTATTTTTTATTTCTTAGTTGCCAGTTTGTTTTATTAAAAAATAGTTAAGAGTTACAACCTTAAAACGAAGGCCTATGTACTTATTGGACCTTTATGGAATCAATGGGGCATGAAGCAGGCACAGATATAGGTTTCATAGATTTTTTTATAACAAGTCTGCCTGTATCTGGACCTGCCAAAATACGTAGAATATGTTTGATTTGAGAATATAGATTTTTATATTCAACTCGAATGATACAGTCAGCTGTTTATTACAAGGTAAAAATCCCAACCAGCAACCGGCACGCCTTGTCATCAGATATTTTGTTGTTATCTGCGCATGCACTTACGTATATAATAAAACTATTCAAGGCTAAAAATGGACGTGATATTATTTGATTTGTAAGGAAATATAACGATGCATCTGTGAATCTTAGAATATAATTTTTAAATTGTATTTGAGAAGTTTCAGAAAACATCAAAACTTGTTCCTTTCTTCCTCAGATGTAGTATTGGCCTAGTGGCTCAGAGTGTGTTTTTCAACTTTGAGGTCGTGGAACCACTAGACTTTTCTATGTGCGCAATTAACACTCGCTCGTTCGGTGAAGGCTGATCACTACCTTCTTCTCCTACTAGCGTTGCCGGACTTTAAGAGGAACATCTTTTTCTTAAAGGTTGGAGGTCGTTACACCCCGAAAGAACTCTATTGGAAGCCGATTACGCAGTTCGCAAAATGAAATGCCTAGAGAAGTGAACTATAAAAGAATTCCAGCCTTTGAGATGATGAGGAATAATTAGTGTAGTACAGAAACGAAGCTGCATAGATCAGAAACAGTTCTTCAGAAGCCTTTCCACACACTCTAAAATACGCACAGTCACGTGCGTCTCTGTGTGAAGCGAGAGCAAAGGATGCGATGACAACACCACAACTCAAATGCACCGGCGGAACTTATCTTCTTTTATTGTCCAAGATTAACAGCCGTACAGAACAAAACTGTTACCGTTCTTAACCTCCCAAATTTTTGTTTTATCTGCCATCGAAACCAGGTAGAACGTAATCATTATATTATACTCGTATATATCACTCTACTGTACGTGTGTATATCACTGAACTCTTCTTAAACGGCTGGACCTCTTTGAATGAATTTGCAGATGGCGCTGCAATCGGTACTTTCATACTTTGTTTAATATCGTAATGGCTTGAAATATCATGCAGGACAACGTCTGTCGGGTCCGCTAGTGTCTTTTCTTTCTAACTTTCGTGTCTCCGATATTTCATTCATTCATTCATTTTCTACTTCGTTTTATTATAATAAATTAACTAATATCTTAACGTAAACATATGTGTAGTGCGTTTGTGTAACTCAACTAGTGCATCGCAATGTAACCTAGAATTGTCCTTGCTAAATCATGTTTTATATACATCTGTGCAACCTTAAAATACTACAATTAAACTACATTAATATTCATTAACATTCGGGCATGTTACTTCGGGTAGACATTTCTGTCTCGCTTTTTGTTTTTCAGTTGTAAATAATAGATAATAGATATGTAAGGAGCGATCTACTGTATGTCTAATGTGGAGTAGGTACAATACTATCGTAGTTGGTCTTTTTTAATATAATAAACTATAATAAAATAACACTCCTTTAGTGATTATAAATACTGTTTTTTTACAATATTCTCAATGATTCGTGTTACTGCTATCCTGGTCAGTGAGATTCAAAACAACGATAGACATAGCAATAAAAAATAAAGATATAAAACAACGAAAATAAACCAAAGACAAGATGTCTCACAGATTCTAAATATACTCAAGTAAAGTTACAGAAAAAGTAAATTATCACACTCTAAATTAAAAAAATAATAATAATAAATTCGACAATTTCTGAATAAAATGTGATCAATTTTAGGCAAGTCGTAGGGGAACATTGTATTTGGATGGTATATTATATTTAATTAATCGAAATAACACGAAAAATTCACCGTGTTTATTTAGCGTAAACATTTCAATAATAAACTACTAATTGTATAAAACAAGAGAACTACAAAATTACAAATAAATAACATTCTTAAAATCATTCTCTAGGATAGCAAATAATTTTATAGATACATTATGTAATTTATTACTTTAAACGGAAACTGTACAACTAAATATTATCTAAGTTAAGGCCATTGGCCTTGCTCTCTAAGACATGGTCAAGAATCTAAACTAGTTTGTTGATGGTCAAACACTATATAATATTATACTTATAATTTATATATCATCGGATATAAACATTACTTGAAACATGATGAGGTAAACAGACGTTTAACAGTCATTTAAAAGATATCGTCAAAGGAGCCGAAAGTCAAGTCTAGGTGAAAATATAGTATTCCACTAACGACAATCCAATTGTTTGGTAATTTTGTGATGATGGCATCTGAGCAGTAAAGCTAAAGCCCAAAGACTCCATCTGTCTTCTTGAGAGAATGGGAGAAGATCGGAGTGTTGAAAAAGCGTATCTCAGTATACTGACCGGTTGCCGACTCGTCGGCAGGCTCAGATATCGCTGGAAAGACGCCATGGAGAAGGACCTACGCGAGCT